TCCTAGCTTGGGCAGTTAGATAAGAAAAGGAAATCAGGGGTATCCAAATAGGAAAAGAGGAAGTCATGTTATCCCTCTTTGCTGATGATATGATCCTATACCTTGAAAATCCAAGAGATTCTGTCAAAAACCTGCCTGCATTGATAAAGGGCTTTGACAAAGTCTCAGGGTACACAATAAACATGCAAAAGACAGTTGCATTCCTATACACCAAAAACAGAGACCCAAATTAAAAGCAGAATCTCATTCACAATAGCCACACACACAAAATGAAATACCTTGGCATCTTCCTAACCAGAGAAGTGAAAGACCTTTACAATGAGAACTACAAAACACTGCTCAAAGAAATCCAAGAAGACACAAACAAATGGAAAAATATTCCATGCTCATGGATAGGAAGAATCAATATTGTTAAAATGTCCATCCTACCAAAGGCTATCTACAGATTCAACGCAATACCCATCAAGTTACCAACATCATTCTTCTCAGACCTGGAAATGACAATACAGATATTCATATGGAAACATAAATGACCACAAATAGCCAAAACAATCCTTAACAAAAGAAACAAAGCAAGAGATTTCACACTTCTAGACTTCAAACTTTACTCTAAGGCTACAGTAAGCAAAACAGCCTGGTATTGGTACAAGAACAAGTACATAGACCAATGGAACAGGATAGAGGTTCTGGAAGCAAAGTCTCAATTCCTCAACCAACTCATCTTTGACAAAGCCTCCAACAACAACCACTGGGGAGAGGAGAACCCATTCAGTAAATGGTGCTGGGAAAACTGGCTGACCATAAGCAGAAGATTGAAACAGGACCTCTACCCATCACCATACACAAAAATTAACTCTAAATGGATCAAAGACCTAAATGTAAAACCTCAAACTATAAGAATCTTAGAAAATGCAAGAGACACCCTTATGGAAATTGGAACTGGCAACCAATTCCTATTCAGAACTCTAAAGGCCAATACCTTAAGAAATAAGATAGACAAGTGGGACCTCATCAAAGTAACGTGCTTCTGCAAAGCAAAAGAAACCATCAAGAGAGCAGGAAGACAGCCCACAGAATGGGAAAAAAATATTTGCCAACTGTATATCTGACAAAGATCTAACACCTAGGATTTACAAGGGATTCAAACACACTGAAAGGAAAAAAACAAACAGTCCCTTTAAAAAGTGGGCAAAAGACATGAATAGACACTTCTCAGAAGAAGATATGCAGGCAGCCAACAGACACATGAAAAAGTGCTCAGTCTCACACATCATCAGAGAAATGCAAATCAAAACCACATTGAGATACCACCTAACCCCAGTCAGAATGGCCATCATTAATAAAACAAACAACAAGAGATGCTGGCGAGGATGCGGAGAAAAAGGAACGCATCTACACTGCTGGTGGGAATGCAACCTAGTGCAACCTCTTTGAAAGACAGTGTGGCGATTTCTGAAAGAACTGGAAATTGACTTCCATATGATCCAGCAATTCCCCTGTTGGGAATATACCTGGAGGAACTTAAATCATTCTACAAAAAAGATACCTGCACATGTATGTTTGTTGTAGCTCTTTTCACAATAGCAAAAACATGGAACCAACATTGTAGCCCATCGAAGCAGAACTGGATTTTAAAAATATGGTACATATACACAATGGAATATTATGCAGTCATAAAGAAAGACAAACATATGGACTTTGCAGCAACTTGGATGGATTTGGAGTCAATTATACTCAGTGATCTATCACAGAAACAAAGAACAGAGTACCATATGTTCTCACTCATATGTGGGTCTTGAACAATTATAATACTATAAGAAAGGGATTGGCAGTAGTAGGAAACTGTCAGGAGAGGGGGTGGGACTGGCAGTTGAGGGAAACTGCTAGGGGAGGGAGGGGCATACCTCATCAACAAGGATATCTGCATAATCAAAGTTTGTATACCTAACCCTGAAATATACCCCACATCTTTATAATAAAATAAATAAATAAAAATGAATGTGGAAGATAAATATTAGAAAAAGATAATAAGGCTGGGTGTGGTGGCTCACACCTATAATCCCAGAACTTTGGGAGGCCTAGGCAGGAGGGCTGCTTGAGCCCAGGAGTTTGAGACCAACCTAGGCAGCATGGTGAGTCCTTGTCTCCATAAAACAATCAAAGAATTAGACTGGCATGGTATTGTGTGCCTATAGTCTGAGGTGCTTGGGGCACTGAGGTCAGATGATTGCTTGAACCCAGGAGTTTGAGGCTGCAGTGCGCCATGATCATGCTACTGCACTCTAGTCTAGGTGACAGTGAGATCCCAACTCAAAAAAGAAAGAAAGAAAGAAAGAAAGAAAGAAAGAAAGAAAACAATAATACAAAAGACACAAGTAGAGAAATCAGAGTTAAAGCATTCTAAATTTATTGTTTTTTCCTTAAAGTGACAGTAATGAAATCCATTGACTTGACACTTCCCAAGCTGTTTCATGTTAAAAGAATGACTACTGAAATAATAGGAGTGGAACATATAACTTTCAAACTTGTATAGAAAAAAGAGAAGTAAAAGTTGATTAATCCAATGTAAAGGAGAAAAAAAAAAACAGAAAAAGGAGCAAAGAAAAATCATGGTAAATAGGTGATCAAATGTTACAAAAGTGAAAATGAGTTAAATGATATAATTCAAACACAGAAATTCCCAGATTGAATTTAGGACTAAAGCTAACTACATGCTCTTTTAAAGAGAGACATATTTAGTGACTTTTTCCATGGTGGACTAACCCAACTAGCCCCTCCTATTGCAAATAACTAGAAAAATGGATAAACTATAATAAAAAACTTGTTTTCAATGAACAACAGGATAACAGACATTAGACACGAGACTTGAGAGAAGGAAACAGAGGACATGAATTCAACCATTGCCATGGCTTTCTGCCTGAGACATTTTCTGACTGCAGTATGGGCATGAGGGACCCCAAGCAAGAGCACAGCAGTCTCACTGGGATAAGTATATGAGATTAGGAAACTGAATGGTGGAGGAGGACAGAGACAGTTGGAATTTATAGGGCAGAGTAGGGGAGGAGGGAAAGTACACAGAGCAAGACTTCCCCTGCTGAAGACTGGGATGGCCTCTGCAGATGAAGAAAGGGGTAGATACATTGAAGATCTCTGAGAAAGGAAGAGCCTGTACTTTGGGATGAGAAATCCAAATATGTTTGAGAGGGTCTAGGTGCATAGGGTGTTTGGATCCTCTTTTCTTGTTAGAGTCCAGGGAGACAGCAATGATCCAGAGGGAAAAAGGCAACATGTCTTGGCTCATGGGCCTGGGACAGCCTTGCAGAGCTCCCTGACACCCCAAAATGACACAGAGCAGCAGAAAGAACCTGAGGACCCAAAGCGGGCAAGGTATCAGGTGACAGAGTTACATACATGTGACTGAGAGTGAGTGCCTGCTCACACCGTGTGCCCCGATGACTTGCTTGCCTCACCCTAATGCCAGTTTTGCGAGGAAAGCCTGGAAATGACACCTTGCATGGAGAGGACACAGTGGCAAACCGAGGCATCCCTGCTGAGCTGTCAGCTCAGTGAGGCCAGATCAAGGATCTGGGCCGACACTATGTGGAGCAGAATTACCCAGTCAACCCACAGAATCCTGAGAAAGCACAAACCATTGGGGTTTGAAGCTATTAAGTTTGGGATGGTTTGTTATGCAGCAACAGATTACTGAGTCATCTTGTTCACAATTCCCCACACTCAGCTGTAACTCAAGGGAAATAAGAGAGAAAGCCTGAATCAAGTATGTTTCTGCCATTTGATAAACTGGAGACTTGTATTATCCATTGCATTTCAATTACAGAAAACAAATTAATGTTTCTTTTCTCATGTACCTGAGCATGTCTGAAATTCATATCCTCTCTATGTATTACATGTCAAGAAAAAATTAAAGCTGACCACGTCTCACTACTTAGGTAGTGGGCATCAATTGTTTTGGTATTCCCCACACCCCAACACCTTCTTTTGGTAACAGTATCCCATTTTCCCCTTTGGCAAACTACCCCTCCTGCATTCTGTGAATGCCTGGAGGATCTTCAATTAGTGTCCCTACATGTAGGGTGGATGTGGGAACAACATAGGCCATTAGGCCTTCTCTCCCAGAACCCATGGGCATAAGAGCTGAAAGCCATTGGGTTGTGTCATGCCAGTGGCCCAGGATCCTGCCAAAAGACTCCTGCTACCAAACTGCCTGCATTTCTTGGGTTCCTCTCTTGCTCTGTGCCTTGGAGTCTGCCAGTACCTTCCAAAATCTGCCTTCCACTTAATTTAGTCAGAATTGGTTTCTATTCTTTGTCATCAAAGAGCCCTGACTGATAGATGATATGGCCTGTTAGGGCAGAAACTCAATGGAGTTCTTTATATTTTTCAGTATGGAGGTCACATGGTTGAGCCATGTGTTGGCCTGGGCACCTGCAATTCTTGCCAAAAGGGTCACCTGAGCAAGGAACACTGATTTATCTGAATGGAAGTCTGCAAACAACCCTTTGGAGAAAATCATTACCCTGGTTTTGTCCTCCTCTGCCTCCCCAGAGAAGTCTTAGCACCCTCAGCCATCAGCAGTTCTCTTGTTCTCTGCAATTCCAGACGTCAGCCTTGGCTGTGTCTTCTTCCCACCAAATCCTCCAACAGCACCAAGCACAGTGCCAGCCTCATCACAGGTTTTAGTTAATGGTGGGTTGATCTGACCAATTTGCCTGAGACTTCCACGTCATGGTCCACATGCCATGCGGCAGTCCTACTGGGTGCACATGGGACTGTTCCTAAGGGCACACCATAGTGTGATGACAGAGCTCCAAGGTCGTGGGACACTTGAGCTGGGCAACTGAGTTGTGGCTGGGAATGCCCTGGACAACACTGTGGGAGCCAAGCTCTCAGGTGAGGTGGACCTTGCCATGGATGAGGTCTGCCCCGGGTCCCCACCCCATGCAGGCCCATGAGAGAGCATCCCCGGGCACATGTGTTACCGTTTCTGCAGGACAGTGACAAACTCAGTTAGCCGGTCACGCTCCACCTCGGTAGCCTGCCAGAGGGCTTTGATTTCTGTCATTTGTGCCTGCCAGCCTTTCTGTTCTGGGGAGTCCGAGAACCTGGGACCAGGATGGAGGGCAGAGGCAGAGGTCATCTGAAGCCTGAAGACATATACTTACCCCTGTGATGATGGGAGGAACTAGAAGGACATTCAGGGGTTCTCAGAGACAGCCAGAGGGAAGGAAGCAAACCCAGCCCTCTCCTGGTCCTCCCCACCAGCTTCTTCTCCTGACCCTGCTGAAGTCTCTAGGCCTCACTTAGCTGCCTCCAAAGCTGAACCCTACCAGGGCTAGAGTTGCATCAATACGTCTGTCTGTCCAATCCCTGTGGGGGTCTGGAATTAGTCTGGCTGCTATGGGAGCTGGCTCTTGGGGACCTGGGGTGCCCTGAGTATCTGTGTGGTCTCTGGGGCCTGGTTGTCCTGCCCAATGTCAGGTATGCCCAGTCTCTATGTCCCTGCCCATCTGTCCCAGCCTTTGCATCTTCTGGCTTGGCCCTTAAACCCAGTCCACTCTTCTAGAGCCTGAACATTTGGTTTTGTGACTTGGTCAGTTTTCTTCAAGCCTGAACCAACTCATTACTGCTTCCTTCCTACCTCTGGGCCTGCCTACCTGCTGACTGGGGCCAAGAGGGAAGGTGAGCTCTGCCTCTCACTCCAGTCCCCAGAGCCCACAAGAGAGTCCAAAGCTGCTTTTTGCTGTGCTCTCACCTTTCTCAGTGAGTCCCTGCGTGACTCTGGGCTTGCTCTCCTAGCAATGTAGGGTGCAGAGAGGGCTGCAGAGGTGGAATGTGTACTGAGAACTGGGCTGGGGCATGCGAGTCCTGAGGCTGACTCGCACTGTGGTCTTGGGCGGGTCTCTTCCCCTTGCTTGGCCCCAGTTCTCCCACTGAACCTTGAGGTAGTTGGTTGAGATGGGCTCTGAGAACAGCAGCCCGCCTGTGTTCTGACTCCTAAGTATGCTCTAAGGCCGTGCTACTCCAAGTATGGTCTCTGACTCAATGGCTTTGGCGTAACTTAGAAGCTTGTTAGGAATGCAGAATCCCAGTCTCTATCCAAGACCTGCTGCATCAGAACCTGGCAGACCCCCAGCTGATCTGTGTGCATGCTGCAGTTTGGAAGCCCCACTTAAATCACCTCCATGATTCTCAAATGTGGGAGAAGAGGAGCAGGAGGAAGAGGCTGGTTCCCTCAGCCTGCCTTCCTTCAAGACACCTCGTCAGAATCATCTGAAGGGAGTGGGTTCAAACCGTGCCAGCCCTGGTAGACATAGTCTCTGGGATCACTCTGCCTGAATTCCTGTCCTGTTCCTGTCACCTGGGAGAGGAGATTGCAAGCTCTATGAGGGTTTGCATGTGGTCAGTAAATATTTGTGTTGTGGAAGAAACAAGCAGTCTAGGCAGCCAAGCAGTCCCTTTGTAGTGCAGAAGTCACAGGCACATACACCTGGAAGGGACTTGGAGGGGCCATCTTATCCATCTTCCTGTTCCCACTACTGTGACTAAAACCTCAGAGAGACAGAGCTTGCCCATTTTCCCGGAGCTGTGGCAAGGCTTCCCCATACTCAAGAGTGTGACACATGCCTTGTAGCTCAGTGTCAGCCCACTCTCCCCCATGTGCCCTTGCGACCCCATCCTGATGGATGAGGCAGCTACAGGGCTGGCCTTGGCCATGGTCTCTGTGCAGCCAAATATCAGGCCAGAAGTGTCTCGGGTACTTTTTGGGAGATAGCAGTCCAGAAGAGGGGACCAGTTTGCCTGGAGCCACACAGATAGGGGACTGGGGCCACTCAGAGGCCTCCTCTGGAACCTGAGCTGACCTGCCTGAGGGGTTGGGGTGGGGGGTGGTGCTGACAGCAGGAGCATGGCTCCACTGGACAGTGGGCAAAGCTTGGGACAGGGCTTAGAGGTAGGACAAAGCCACCTTTTGTCTATCAGCTGGCAGTAAGAACAAAGGACCCATTTAAGCCCTTTGGCTTGATTCTATCAACAAAGAGGGGGCCAGAGGGCTGAGGGGATATCAGTGGCTTAAAGTAGGAACCCATATCATGTGAAATTCTCCCGCTAGAGACTGACTCTCAATGAGTAAGAGGAGGCGAGGGAAGGTGCTAGAAGCCAGGTCCAGGAACACTCCTCATGTTAACTCTCTAGCAGCAGGAGGGAACACTGGACTGGAGGTCAGAGGTCAGGATTCCAGTTCTAAAGCTGCTTACCCTATCATCTTGGATGAGACACCTGACTTCTCTTGTCCTCCTTGTCCTTATGTAACCTTGGAAGAGTCCCTGGCCTCAGAAACCCTTCTTTTAATGGGATGAGAATATTGCCTAAGCAATCAAGAATGGGGAAGGACTGTGAGGGTCCAGGGGTCCTGGGTTCATACCTGGGAGAAGTCCTGTGGGGACTGGGCAGGGACGGCCTTGTGAGAGCAGATTCCACCAGTGTGTGGCCCAGGCTGGTCATGGAGCTGTACAAAGGCAGAAGGGGTTCATCATCACAGGAAGGCAGACGGTCTGGCTGGGCCTCACCTCTGCTCATGAGGCCGAGCAGAGGCAAGTAGGGATTCAGAAAGCCTGAGGGGTGGCCAGTGCTGGCCCTCGCAGCAGCCATGGGGATTTGCTGCCCTTCTTTCTAGAACTCTTGCTTGTTCAAAAAGAGACAGAGTCAGAAGTTATCAGAGTCTTGAACAATTCAACACAGGTCCATTCAGGGTCATGGGAGCAGATGCACATAGAGGCCAGCTCAGAGGGGCTATTACAGGAGCTGCAAACAGCATGCCTTGAAGTAATAAGATCTGGGCCTAACTGGCTCACTCCTGCAGATGCACAGTTAATGTAACAGGAGAGGCCCACATGTTGGAAGAACAATGGTATAGTCATCTTAAAATTGCACCCATGACTTCCCATCAGAAGTGGCAGGAAACAACCTTTCTTCTGAATAATTAATATTCACATTCCAACCCCTCCATCCCATCTTTTTCTTACCGAGAAGATCCAAGCCTGCCCCCGTGCTCGCCTGCTGAGGCCGGGGACTTGGTCAGGCCCGGGTCCTCCAGGAACTGGGTGTAGGTGGGGCTGACCTCAGGATCAGTGGACCCCTCACCCACTCCTTTATTCCGGAGATACTGTAGGGAACAGACATGGGTTCAATTCTCAGGGCTTTGGCTCAGAGTCCTGAGGAAGGCAGGAGGGGGCCTTGGCTTGATTCTGGGACTTTCAGAGGATATGAAAGAGGCTTCTTTTCAGGAGTGAAAAGCGAAGCCTGTTTGGTGAAGGCACTACTTGCATGATAATGACATCTAATAATGCCTCGTTTCAGAAAGGGAGCTACAAGGCGTGAGGACGGTGCCTGGGTCAGAAAGCTGTTCTACATTTGGGCTCCATGTTCTATATTCATGGCCTCGAACATGGGACAGGTTAGAGACCTGTGTTTCCCGGTGGGCCCACTCCTTAGGAAGCCCCACCCACATGTGGCCAAACGCTCATGACTTGAGGCCAGCTGCCTTGGTCAGCTGGAACACCTGGACCTTCCAGACACCTGGAACCCAAGATGCTGGCAGGGCCTCAGCAAGGCTGGCAGCCTTGGGTGGAGGCTGGACCTCCCAGGTCCCTCTCTCCCCCCATAATCCCTTCCTCTTCTGGATACCTGGTGGGGCTGGGCTGGAGAAGAAACATTAGGGGACCCCCCAGCAGGAAGTCAGGCCACCACAGCAGACAGTTGGTGTGGGCCCCTAACAGCTTGGCATGTCCCCAGCCCCAGCCTTTTTTTTTAGAAAGCAGGATTTATTGAGAGGACAGAAAAGCTCTCACAGTGGGAGGGGACCTGAAGAGATTGCCCTAGCCCCAACCATTCTGAGAAAACTTGCGACATATGCCCACTTCTCTGGTGGGTAATGCTTGGCCCCCAGTTGGCTGGTGACCTCTGAGGTAGAAACAGTCTTCTCTTGTGTGTCTGAAGCAAGGACAGCCATGAGACAAAGATGCTGGAATGTTCTTGTGTGCCTCTTCAGACCTCCCTCTACAGTGAGTGAATGGGAAGGAAGGGAGGACTGCAAAGTGACGTCCCTGCTCACTGCCATGCATACTCTGTTCCCAGGCATTGCTCAAGCCTCCAGGCCTTCCCTCATCCTCAGAGGCTTCAGCATTCTCTACCACAGCCAGTTCTGTGGGCTCAGGCTGTCCTGGCCTCTGGAGATGGAGGCTGTAGGAAAAACCAGACTGGTCAGCCAATGCCAACCTGAGGCAAGGGCCAAGGGGCTCTTGGGCACTTGTGCCTCTGACCAGCCAATAGACCCCTGGAAACAAAAGGCAGGGTTGCTCTGTGACAACTGCAATTAACCTTGCAGTGGGCCAGATGCTAAAAGGCTCCTTTGTCCCTGGGAGACCTGTGTGCCTGTCAAGGAATCCTTCTCCCCAGAGCCACTTCCAGCCCCCCACACCACAACCACCACAGGGAAGAGCCATAAGGTGCCGAAGGCTGACTTCTAGCAGTCCCAAGCTGTACCCTCAGGCATTTGCCAAGACACACATTTATTGGGCATCTGCTGTGTGCTTGGTCTAGTGCCAGGCACAGAGGTACTATGGTGGTGCCCCCTCAAGAGGGATACAGGAGAGAAAACAGTAAAATAACCATACAATGTGAGAACAGGTTGGACTGGGAACACACAAGGGGTTAGGAAAGTGCCAGGAGGGGTGTGTGACACAGAACAGGGCCTTGGAGTTCCCCGAGCAGCTCAGGACTAGTAAGACCTGAAGGCTGAGGGGCAGCTGACCAGGCAGAGGCAGTGGGGTTGGGAGGGGAGGGGTGAAGAGAAGATGCAGGAGGAGTGGCAGCCAGAGCTAGTCTCAGGAGCCCCGGGAGCTGGATGAAGCAGTGCAGCTTCCCTTCTCCCACCTGCTGCCAGGCATGTGAACCTAAGGCTGGAGCTACAGCTGCCATCTTAAATCATGGAGGGAGCACAGTGAGGTGGGAGAGGGTGGACTGCAAGAAGCCTGGGTCCTTGAGGGCTGGTGAGGCCGAGGTTGACAGGAAGCCATGAACAGAGTTTAAGCAGAGCAAGGACACTAGCAGGTTTGCGTTTATAAAGGAAAGGTGTGTGCAGAATGGGCTGGGGAGCCAGATAGAGGCAGCAGGCCATGGTGGAGCCAGGAAGGCTGAGGTGTGGTCTACGCTCAGGCAGGTGGAGAGAAGTGGAAGGAGCTGGGTGGACTCCTCGAGGCTTGGAAATGTCCGGGTTGCACCGGCGCCCACTCACCTGCACACTGAGTTGTCCAATCTCCATCTCTAGCTGCCGCACCTTGGCCTCCCGCTCAGCCACCATGGCCCGCAGCTGGGCAACAAGGCTGCTGCTCTGCTGAGCCTCGCTGTTGAGCTGTTGGTCCAGGTGGTGCTGGGATGCACGCGTCCTTTCCTCCTGCAGGCTCAGGCTGCCCAGGATCTCCTGCAGCTGCTTCAGCTGGTCCTAGAGGACAGGCGGGTCAGTCATGGGCCCTGAGCAGGGACGGACAAGAGCAACCTGTCCTTGCCTGCCTTCAGGGGTATTCCAATCAGGTAGTAAGGGACCATGCCCTTCTCTTGTCCTCAACTTCCCTCTGAGTTTGGGGCCGAGAAGGACATCCAAGGGGCTCCCGGGGACAACAGAAAGCAGCTCAGCTGGTGGACCCTCAGCTGGTAGAGTAGACGTTTGGGTAAAAGGAAAGCCTGGTTCCACTCCGCTGGCAGACTGTCCTGAGAGGCAGCTCCCGGACCCTTCCCCAGGGATCCTTTAGCACCTAAGGCCTTGTCCCCTGGGAATACCCCCAGGCAGACTCCTGAGGCAGAAGCTTTCAGCCTGGAGGTCGACAGAAAGGACGATGTCAGTGATGTGGAATGGGTGGGGCTATTGTCCTCACCTCACAGTGAAGGAAACCGAGGCTCAGAACCAAGACATGCTGCTGAGGAATAACAGGGCTGGGGCTGGTCTGCCGCTCTCACCATGTCGTCTTCAGTGACAAAGAATGGTGGCATCTCGGAGGACAGCCAGCCCTGCTCCTCAGTTTACAACTGGGTGCTGAAGCTCAGAGAGGGAATGCAACTGGCCTAGAGTCACATGGTGAGGTACCGACAGAGGCAGGCCTAGATTTCAGGTCTTCTGTGGCCGGCCTACGACCCTGCTGTGTAAAATGACTATGGACTAAGGTGGGTGCCTGAGCCAGCAGCCCCCAAACACCTCAGTCAAACCAGGTAGGTCACCCCTGGGGCCAGCAGGCACAGCTCGGAATTCAGACACCAAACTCTGGTGTATCTCAGGTTCCTGAGGTAGAGTTGGGAACACAGTGTAGTCTTACTAATCAAGGAAGGGCTTAGAGTTAGATAAACCTGGTTTGAACTCAGTTATAGGGTGTTAGATGAGTTATTAACGAATTTGAGTCTTAGTTTCCCATCTGTGAAATGGGATTTAATGTAGAACCCTAGGAGTTTTCTTGGGAACTAACCATCATAAAGTGCTCAGAAGGGGAGGGGTTCTATGCCACCAGAGACAAAAATTGGTACTGGCTCTCTCAGCTGTCCCTTCCATTCCTTGCTGAAAAATAATCCAGGGTGTAATCCCATCACCTTCCCCCTTACATGTTTCTTTCTCCTTCGGGGTTCACAGGCCCAGTGACTCATGTCTAATATGCCAACAGCACAGCCCGCTCCATGCCCTCGGGCAGCCTCTATGAGCTGCTCCGGTCCCTGGGGCGGGGTGCTAGGCTTCTGGGCTGTGCAGGTGGCATGGTGGGGTGCATGAGGGTTCCCTGGGGCTGGGGGGCCATCCCTGTCCTGGAGAACCCCAGCTCTCACCCTGCCTGAGTGGCTGGGCCATACCATGAGGGCGTCGATGAGCTCGTCGTCATGCCTGCCTTTCTCCACCAGGGTTCCCATCTGACTCTTAAGGGTCTTCACCTCACTTGACAGGACCCTGTTCCGAGACCTCACGCCCTCGAACTTCTTTTTTAGCTCTTCGACCTCTCTCTGTAGGGCATCCCGCTCACTGGCAAGTTTCTGTAATTAGAAAGTGAGGCATGAGCAGCAGGGCTGAGTGGGACCTCGGCCACATCTGTTCCCTGGCTCCTGTTCAGTGGCGAGGCCTGGGGTGGGAGGGGTGCTTGCTGAAGGTCACAGAACCAGTCCGTAGAGCTGGGGCCCTGCTCCCAGCCCAGCCTCTCAGGGACATCAGGTGCCGCAGCCGCCTGTCCTTGCCCTAGCATATGACAGATCGCACTAAGGGATGACAGCACTTCTCCCCTGGCCTGAGACACAGGCGAGCACCTGAGAGGAACCCCACTGACCAACTCTGCATGACAGAGAGCATGCTGGCTCCACCCTCTGGCCCTCCACAGGTTGCGGAAAAGGGAAAGCCACACTTTAGAAGACAGCTCAGGCAAGGGTTCAAACTGCAGCCTCTCACCCCAGCAACAGCTAGAAAAGGGAGGTCCTGCCTGCCACCCGTTCTCATTCCCTCACTTCCTCCACGATCAGTGCAACCCCCAGATGCCTCCCTGCTTTGTCAGCACCAGGTGGAAACTTGTGTGCAGCACATATCTTTGGAGTCTCTCGTTCATCCATCCCTTCCTCCTCAACATTTCCTGAGGGCCTACTGTGTGCTTAATATTGTTACAGACACAGCAGAGAACAAGAGTCCTTGTCCCTAAGGAGCTGACATCCTAGTGGGGGAGACAGATCATGCCAAACAGTGACAAATGCTAACTGAAAAGTAGGAAAAAGGAATAGGGAGGCAGGCAATGGCCAGGGAAGGCCTCTCTGAAAGGCAGCATCTGAGCAGAGACTGAAGGAGATGAGGGGAAGAGCACAGGCCCTGAGGTGGAATATGTATGACTGAAGCACAGTGAGTGAGGGGCAGGTTAGGGCACAAGCGCAGGGAGGCAGATGAGATAAACCCTTAGAGTTGAGATGGAGACACTGAGGAGGGTCTTGGACAGTGGGTGACATGATCTGACTTGATCCTTAAGGTCAATTATTGCTGGAAAAGTGTTTTCAGGTCCACGATGAAGTGAATTAGAGAAATGCAAAGTGAGTCAACCCTGATGAATCTACAGGACGCAAGCCTTGGGCAAGGAGGCAGCCACTGCTCTCTGTCGCCCACCTGCCTCCACACTCCAGGCTCGTGTGGGTGCCTGACAGAGCAAATGCACAAAGGAGATGTTTTCCTTCTACCCACTGTGTGGCTTATGGTCAGCTAATTGTTCCAACATGTTCTGCTTTGTGTAACTGTGTAAGTCCAAGCTAAGTGCACTTCAAACCCCACATTTCCAAGTCTTACCCTCCAATTACCCCTTGAGCCCACTCCCTGTCTCCCTCACCCATCTGCCATGCTCCCTAGGAGTCCTTTGTAATTCTTCCTACTCCTCTCCCTTCCCTGTCCCATCAGTCATTGCACCCTAGAAGACTACCCTCAGTCACCCAGGTGTCTGATCCTTCCACTACAGTCCTACTGTTTTGGTGAAGTTCCCTGGTTATGTCTTGAGTGAATTACTGTTCTGCCTTTCACACCTCTTCCAACCCACCCTCCTCTTCCTCTAGCCATGCAACTTTCTCCAAATGCTCGGCTGACCATATCCCTCCACAACTTAAAACACTCTGGTCGTTCTCCACAGTCTTCGAGAGCCCTGGCTGGCACACAAGGTCCAGCAGACTCTGGCACCGCCCACCGCTCTGGTCTCACTGTTCCCCTCCTCACATCTAATGGTCCAGAATACTGGAAGTACAATGTCTCATTCCCAGCACAGGGCCTAGCCTGGAGCTGGCGCTCACAAATGGAATTCCCCCGATGAAAAGGCAAGGCTTTGCATTAGACAGCCCCCTACCAGGGCCACTAAAGTTGACCTGTGTTCAGCCTGCCAGGACCTCCTCCCGCTTCTTCCACTACTTTCTTTGTGGTAGCCCCTATGCCCCACTCTCAGTCCAAGGTTGAGAAGGCTAATTCATCCCCCAAATCTTGAGGGTGGGTATCTGAAGCTTGGCCAATCAAAACACCTTGTGCCCTTGGTTACAGTGACTGGTTGAGGGATGGCCATGTGATGACCCCAGCTAGACCACAGACACTCAGTTCTGGGACTTCTTTGGAACTTCTGGAAAAGAGAAGTCCTTTGTCTGTGGAGGCTGGGCTGAAGGGTAGAGGCTGGCTACCAGGAGTCCCCTTCTGTGGAATGCTGTGAAGCAAACCCAGGAGAAAGCAGTACTGAGACCAAGACCCCAAAATCCTGAAGTGAGGCCACCTCTGGACTGCTTGTGTCCACAGGCCAATACATTCCCTCTGCTGACCGAGCCTGGTCAAGTTAGAGTTCTAACATCCCCGACGCAGCCGATGGGATGCAGCCCTGGGCGCAGAGTCCAGCCTGCTGCCTCCCTCCTCAGCCTGGAGCTCTCCTCCTTCATGCCCCATCTAACCCTATCATACCTCTGGGGCTGTGACCCATCCTCTCTCCCTCTTACAATGAAAGTTTCAGGTAAAGCATCTCCATGGCAATCAGGAAGTGGCCACCCAAAGTTCACTAAACGGACTCAGGGTGAGGCCCCAGTTAGGCAGCTCAAGCTGGATCCATAGGATGTGAGGACACACACAGAGGTGACCAAGGCCCCAGGTGTCTCCTGCCAAAGAGGGGTGGCTCAGACTTCTGGTCGCATGTGCCCCAGAGCCTTGCAGGTGCAGTCATAGTCTCCCAGCCCGCATGCCCAGTTGACCTCCTCTCGGGTAAACATTACCTCCCAGCCTTCCTGTCTCTCCCTTTCCAGGCTGCGGATCCTCAGCAGGTGTTTCTCCTGTGCTGACAGCTTCCTTGGGTCTGGATGGATGGACAACTCATCACTGGCTGTTCCCACAGACTGGCTCCGGGTCTGGCCCAATTGCTTCTCAAGCTCTCGAACCTGAGGGCAGTAAAGCTCGCTGTGGTACAATGGGTCTGCAAAGACTGTGCCACTTGAGGTGCGGTGGGGGACCCCACCAGACTGAAGATTGAACCACCATCCCAGAGGATGTGGTGGCCCCACATGAGGGACCCTGGGGTGGGAAGATCTGAGCTGGCCTCTTGAGCAAAATAGCAGGAGATAACAGAGAGGTTCGGCTTAGGAAAAAGACACATCGAGATAAAAGAAAAAGCACGCATCTCTGAGGGGCTGTTTGAGGCCAAGAAGCAGACATGCGACCCCAGGAGGGATAAGATGGTAGGTCTCAGCACAAGGAAGACCTCCCTAACAGACAGACTACCTCAAACTGGGTGGGCTCCTCAGGAGATGGTGGGCCACACGCAGGAGGAACTGCAGAGGGAGGGCTGGGACTGGAAGCTGAGTGATCTGCTCAAAGCCTTGCTGACTGTGTGACTGTGCATAGGTTACTTCTCTTAATCCAAGTTCCTCATCTGTAAAATAGGCCTAAGAGCGCACCCTGGGCTGGACTCGGTGGCTCAGCCTGTAAACCCAGCATTTCGGGAGGCCGAGGTGAGTGGATTACCTGAGCCTGTGGGTTTGAGACCAGCCTGGCAACTTGGCGAGACCGCATCTTTACAATAAATTTTTAAAATTAGCTGAGTGTGGTAGTATGTACCTATAGTTCCGGCTACTTGGAAGGCTGAGGCGGAAGGATCGCCAGAGCCTAGCAGGTCAACTCTGGGGTGGCCGTGAGCGTGCCACTGCATTCCAGCCTGGGCAACAGAATGAGACTCCAATTAAAAAAAAAAAGAGTGCACCCTGCATGATGCTGTTATGAGGCTTCAGCCCCAGAAATTGTCTGAGCCTAGGAATCCTCCAAGATTCTTCTCGGAATGACAAATTGTGGGACTCACTCCAGACCAACAAATCAGAGCTCCAGGGGGAGGGCCTTGGAACCCTCATTTTAACAAATGTTATGGGTGATTTTTAGGAGTAGGCGACTTTGAGAAGTCCCAAGGTGGTCCAGGTGAATCCCTCAACACAGTCTGGCACACATGGGCTCTCAGCAAGCAGGTGGATGTCATCAACAGAACAATGGCTTTGTCACACTGGGGTTTAAGCAGGTACCTCCTAGGGTCCTTCTTACCTTGGTTTCCATGTCAACCCAACCAAATGATGGAACAAAGTTGGTAAACCCGAGCCGGGAAAGGAGGCAAAATTCTCCGGGCTCATGGCAAAAAGCATTATCTTGAAAGCACGTAGCAGCGCCCTCGTGTGGCACTGTGCAGTAATTCCACTTAAGAACACAGTTGACACAGAAGTTTTAATCATTTAATATAAACTTAACAATAATCAATTGTTGAATGCTTATTATGGCTAGACACTGTGCTGGGTGCTTTATAAATGCCATTTCACTTAACCCTGTTTTACAAGTGGGGAGATAAAGGCACAAAGAGATAAAGCAATTTGCTGAAGGTCACAGAGCTAGGCCCCAGTGGTCAGACTCAAACTCGGTCTCTTGAACCCCAAGGCTCACAATGATCATCAATTACAGGTTTTTGGAGTTTTTCCCCCTTTATGTTGGCTTCAAGGATTCCATAGGAGACCCTGAGGATAAAAGCCATACAGAAACTGTGATACTTAAGTCCCTGGGGGTGAAGACAATATGCTTGGCAAATAGTGAAGACCGCACACTTTCTCATGTGTTTCTCAGTTTAAAGGTAAAAAGTGAAAATAGTCACAGTTAAACTTTGTATAGTGCTTCCTCCATGCCAGACACCATACCGAGCACTTTATATGTACTGACTCACTCAGTTGGTACCCTTATTATCCCCATTAAACAGATAAAGAAACTGAGGCACAGAGGAGGTAACTTGTTTGAGGTCACACGGCTGGTGAGTGGAGAGCTGGGATCTGAATCTAAGCATCTGGTCCCAGAGCCCCTGCTCAAGCCTCTTCTGGTATGCTCAAAAATATTTAGAAAATACAGATGGAGATGAGGCAAAGTTTTTATTGGGTAATTAAAACTTTCAAAAGACTACAGGCATCTGGACAAAACTGGAGAAAGCCTACAATTACAACAGTCACGCAAATTTACATAAACTAGGAAAAAATACGCCTGGAGTAAAATAAATCAAACCAAAGGCGTTGGCATTTGTTAAGCTCCAGTGCCTGGCATGTGGTGTTATATAAGTGTTGTTCATTAAATAACAAATTAAAATCAGGCTGGTTGGGGAGAATGTAAAACAACAGCCCTGCAAATGTGCTCCGTAGGACCCAAAGGCCTTTTTTGGGTTCAGTGTGCTTAAGTCCCCTCTTACATAGGACAGTATTGGTCTTTTTGTGGCCATTTTAAGTCCTTTGTTCAGGGCCAGAAGTCTGATGACTCACTCACCTTGCTCTGCAAAACGAGAATTTGTTGTGCTCGACCCCTCCAGGTGCCTGGTGAGGACAGGAGCTGCTGGACATTGACGTCTTCCCCAACCTCACTGGCCAAGACCTGAAATAAGGCAGGGCTTTCAGTGTGACCAGGAGAGGGCTGAATGGAGCAGTGCTAAATGTGTGGGACTCCCAGAGGGCCCAGGCTTCACCTACACAACTTTCTTCCTGCTTCAGAGCACAATCCTCAAAGGTCAGTCTACTGTGTCCCAAGGGCAGCTCTCCCTGGGAAAGTAGTAAACCCACCATCCCAGCATCTTTTTGGCAATGCTTAGAGCTGTCAAGAGACTGCCAGCAATGCCCAGATAGGGTCCCTTGCTCTTGACGTATTCTGGGATGAGTAAACCCCAAGGCTGACCAAAACCTGCTTCCTTAACCTTCTCACCTGTCACCTAGAGCAGAGATAATTCAGTACATTGCTGCCAGGTCCTGCCCTCTGTAAAAAGCCACCAACAAGTTGCCAACTGAGTGTGGCAGGAGGCTACTGAATGTCAACTGGGGATGCAGTGGTTCAAAAAGGGCCCAACTTTGTGGCTGTGGAAGTGCGGTGTTCAGGCCCAACCTCAAGACTCTGAGGTGGAGACAATACACTCTAGCCTGTGACCTGGGCCCCTCTGAAGCCTGTCACAGAAACCTGATCCAGCGTACCAAGTCTCTGACACTTGTTTCCACAATAGAACACTGTTTTGGAAATCTTGGCCAGTCTGAGTAGTTCCTGCAGGGAAGACAAATGCCAGAGAATTCACTATGTAAATAAAAATAAATAACCAACCAGCTGGGCCTACTCCCAAGTCTGAGCATTTTCCTTTGAAAGGGGCCTTTAATACACAAATAACCTATTCATTTTCTAATGTTACAGATAGCAGAGAGCAGGAGGCAGATGTTGGCAGGCTTCCAAGTCAAGGGTGGCTTACTAAGGGGAGGCCCAGGATGACTAGGGCACAGGGAGTGCAGGGAAGGCTAAAGGACTCTCCCTGGGTGGACAGCGCTGTCCCTCTCAGTCCAGAGCTGGGCAGGCATCATAGGGGCATGTCTCCTGGGGGGTGAGGGAGGCCAGTGACTCCACCCACCAAATGGGCCTGTACCAAGGGCTGATGGAAGAAAGCACCAGATCTGGAGCCCGATGCAGAGCGGGCAGTGTGCTCCCGGGGTTGAGCACTCACTGCCCCAGAATGGACCCCACAGGCCAGCCGTGCTCTTCCTAAGCCCAGCCCCGGCCACACAAGAAGCCCTGAGCCCTGGCTCCGAAAGACCTTCTGGGCCATCCGCAGCTCCTGCTTCACAGTCTGGATCTGGTTGCGGAGGTCACTCATCTTCAAGTTCGTGGCCGCCAGCTTGTCCTGCAAGGCCTTCACCTCTGGGGTCTCCAGCTGGTTGGGAAGGACAGAGAAAAGGCAGTCACTTGCTGCCTAAACAGTAATAATAATCGTAGCCCCTATTATCCACATCTGTGCCAGGCACTGTGCTGAGGGCTTGACATGGAGTGACTCATTTATTCCTCATGGACTCCTGTGAGGCAGGTTCTATTGTCAGCCCTTCATAGATGCAACATGGAGGCTGGTGCAAGGTAAGTCCCTTTGGCTTGGGCTACCTGGTTAATGAAAGTGGATCATGGATTTGAATCCAGGCAGCTCAACTTCAGGGCTGAGCCCCTTGTTCAGAGTGCTGTGTACATGGAGCATGGCTTGGCCCCAGAGGTGAGCAGCCGAGGAGGCTGTGGGCTCCAGACCTCCCAGACACTTCCTGGGTGTGGACTCACTGCTGCACTCAGAGATCGGCATCACAACTCCTCCATCCTTACTCAGAATAAAGAGGAAACCAGTTCACTCACAGAAGGTGAACCCAGCTTAGCAGGAGGGCCATGGCCGTTCTGACTCAGGGCCTCCTTCTCTGGGAATCGCCAGCCTGGCTTTGGTCTCTGGCAGCTGAGGGCCTTGGGCTCCCTTTCTTGGTAGTGCTCACTGGACAGAAATAAGGACTCAGTTTAATCCCTGAATATGCCATCTCTGTGGCTTAAAGAATTGCAGCAATCATGAAAACTGCCTGCTAAAACTTATCGATGTCCTTTTTAAAAAAAAAAGTTTTATTTAAACTATTTGGATGCAAATTTTCTTAAGAGTGCTGACCACTTCTCTGTCTTCAATAGATATTCCTGAGACTCACAGAAGTTTGGAATTTAAAACAAACAAACAAACAAAAGGGAAAAGAAGTTTGGCATTAAAGGGATTTCCAAAGTCAGTCCATTCAAACCCCTCCCATAAGTAATGACAATAAGGTCCAGAGAGGGGAAGTAACTTGCCTTAGGGCACACAACTGGCAAGGGGTGACCTAAGTGGGATCAGAAGCCTTGTCTTTCTGCTGCCCTGGCTAATTTTCCCAACTTAAGCTGCTGCTAATGTTGGGCTGGGCAGCCCAGCTGAAAGCCACTGGTCAAAGAAACTAGACATGGGCACAAGGTCCAGAGCTCTGGCCTCCGCTGGTGTCCTCAACTATGGTATAGCTATAGCAATATTTCCCTGTCCTGCCTCCTCACAGCGCCACTATCAGGCTGAGGAGAGTAATCATTTTGTGAACAAAATGTGCAAACTGGGAACTTATATCCTTTTTTTTAGTATATATTTTTTCTGTGCCCTTCTTCCTACCTAGCTGCCTGCCATCCTGTTCACTGTAGCTGGGTGCCTGCCTTTTCTCCTGTTAGATGTATGGTTTTGAATCTTCCCTTGGCTGGGGACCAACACCCCCATGGCCTGCCTGTCAGATCTTCAGTACCATGAGCCCCAATGGCCCTGAGACCAGAGGTGCCCAGAGCTGTGGGAGCACATGAGCCACCTGTGTGGCTGCTGTGACCTTGCAGCATCTCTTTGGTCTACCCAGAGCATGGAAAGAGCATACAACTTTGATCAGGGTCTAGAACCCAGGCAATGATGCCCTCTCCAAACCTCATGTCCTGCCTGGGGGTATGTAATGCCACCCTCCAGAGTACCTATGATGGTTGAAAGAATGAAGCCAGTAAGCAAGCTGCTGGGCAGGTTCTGACAGGAGGCAGTGCTGGCAGGCCTAGCCTGGCTCAGGTGGGCAGCTGGCAAAGGGGCTGAGGGCCAGGTGGCATTCTGGAGAGCTGGGCAGCCAGGCTCACCCTACCGCCCAGCTGTTCCAGAGCTCTTTCTGCCTAGGGTGAAATTCCACAGGCTTGTGGGGGCCTAGGTGTGGGTATACTCCCTCCCGACCCATGGAATGTTTCCTTTGAAGGAATAACTGAAATGCAGTCACTGGAGAGCAGATAATGCCAGTGCTGCTCACACCAAGCTACTGAAGTCCCACAAAGAGGGGAAGGTGTTAAACTCCACTCTGGAAAGTGCTCTGAAGGTCAGGGCCTCTGGAGAGTGACTGGACTTGGGTGTCAGACTTAGTGAGGGAGACGTCGCTATTGCCTTTGCTTTTGCTCTGATCGGGAACTGCCAGGCATGCATGTAGGTGATGAATGAGACTTGCAGCCCGTCAAGTGAACTTCCATCAGAACCTTCCAGCTCCCTGTGCCACAGACTAAAGCTGAAACTCCCACTCCAGCTGCCATTCAAGGCCTCCAAGCTTTTGGGGGGGTTTATACTCCTTTTTTTCCCCTTGTGAGCTCTGGCTGCAGCCCAGTGTTGTCCAACTGACACCAGTTCAGCAAACTGAAGAGGGGTGTTGGGTGCTTCCTGATCTCTGTGCCTGGGTTTACACTGCTTTTCCTGGAAGGCCTTTCCCATCTCCCTTCTTCAGGAAGGCCCATCTCAAGGATGCCTTCCTCCAGCCTGCCATCAAGCAGCCTGAGGAAGAGAGTGCACTTCCTTCCTGAGCTCAGAGCACTGGGCTGTTTCTGCTGCCCTGCCCATATCCTTCCTTCACAGGCTACTTGTCTCTCCTCTGGGACACCTCACAGTCAGAGATTCCTTGTGTCACAGGTCTCAGAAAATCCCATCAGGCTCAATGAGAGACTGAACAAGCAGTTTCCCATCTCGGGCAGCTCTAGGTAGGGACATGGGGTCTAAATGCTCTGAATAGACTTAGCAGTGTTTCTTGGAACTGAGAAAGGTCCTGAAGAACACTCAGTCCTGGCCCTGTGGAGAGCAGCGCCTCCCCAGCAATGAGACAGGTTTATACATTCTAGTCTTAAGAGACATATTCACCCTTGGAACTTGGGGGCCCATCACTGCACACTGAGGACTGAATTCTTCTCAAGACAGGCATGGGGCAGTCTGAATCTGAGGTGTAGGCAACAGGAGATGGGGCACTAAACTGAGAGTCCTGGGGCTTGGCTTTCTCTGTCACCAGCTGACCTGGCTTTCCAGAATGTTCTTAAGACTCTGATGCTGTTTATTGTCTGGCTTGGGGATAAGCCAACCCACTGGGTGAGACTGCCTTCCTTTCCGGAAGCTGCAATTCCCATCTCTTGCATTTCATGGGCTGCTCACTGACCTAATAACATGGGACCTGGGAAAGAAGTCCCCATTTCCAATAGTCATGTTCACTATGTAGATGTGGAGTGCCGCAAAAGGAAGACTCCTCACAACATGAACTGCCTGTAAAGAACAAGTTCCCTCAGGGCAGCAGTGAGCTCCCTGTCCCCAGGGTGAGGCTAGATGTCTCCCTGGTGAGGATGCTGTGCAAGCGGTGGCTGGGTTGAGAGTAGGAGGCCTTCCCCTAGGTCCTGTGGTTCTAGGGTTCCAGGGTTCTCAGGCTCCTCCCAGCCTTCTTGACTGAGGATAGAATCAGAGTTAAGTTTTCCGGGGTCTCCTGCTAGGGCATTGCTGGCTTGCCACAAGTACTATTCCCTGATGGCTGCTCTGAGGATGCTGCATGGTAGACAATAGGCACCTAGCTCAGCAGTGGAATGGGGTAGACCCTGTACCTATGGTCCCATAGAAGAGGGGAGGCCCAGGCCAATGGCTGCCCAGCACAGATGAGAATTCATACCAAGGCTCTGTCTCCCGTCTGGGTCCTCAGTGGCTTGGCTCCTGTATCGGTGGCCCCCTTGGCCGGCAGCCTGGCCAGGGTTGTCTGCAGCTGAAAAAGCAAACCTTGCACTTAATATTGAACTCTGCTCGGCAATGGTGCAGCCCAAGGTAAGTGCTCTGGTGTCACTGAACATGTGGTTACCAGTCTTGATGATTGGTCCTTTTAGCTTACTTTAGGATCATTAATGGAAGATTTCTCCTTTACAAACTGCTCTGGAATGGGAGAGGGTGTAATCAATTGTCTGTCTCACTCCCCATTTGCACTGTAAGAGCAGCCCAAGGATTCACTAACAGCTTAATAATAATGCATAGCCATAATCTGTCTCTTGGAGTTCTAACAACAGCCAAGGAGGGGGAGAATAATGAAATTATGGACTTCAGGTTACAGAGGAAGATATGGGGTCAGAGACACCGAGAAGCCTGCTGGAGGGCAACAGAGTTAGATTTGAAGCCCAGCCTGATCACACACTGTGATTTGAGAACATTTCTCAGCTCTTCCAGTGACACAAGGCTCAGTTAGGTAGGTTCTCTCCTGCATACACTGGGAGTCCCTTCCAGAAGAAGAATGAGCAAAGGCCCTCACCTCCAGCTCCAGCTCTTGGATGCGATTGGTCAGCTGTTTCACTTTGGTTTTTGCACCCTCTGATTCTGCCATCAGCACCCGGTTCTTTTTGGACAGCTCAACAATTTTAGTGGCAACCATATCTCCAGCCATACCGGCTGTCCCTAAAATGAAAGAAATAGTGAGGTCAATTAAAAACACAGGCCTGCATATCAAACTCATGCCCACTCCAACAGCATCAAGGTTTTAAAAGCTAAAGTTGCTTGGCATGAACACTCACAAAAATGCAGAGGCCCAGGAGGGTCACCAGATACCTAGGAGCCCTGGAATCCAGCTTCAATGACTGAAAATGCAGTCACCCAGAGGTTCAGTATATTATAGGAAAATTATAAAACCAGAGCCAGCCTCGGTGGCTCACATCTGTAATCCCAGCATGTTGGAAGTCTGAGGTGGGAGGATCACTTAGGTTAGGAGTTCAAGACCAGCCTGGACAACATAGCGAGACCTTGCCTCTACAAAAACATTAAAAAGTTAGCTAGGTGTGGTGGTACACACCTATAGTCCCAAAGACTCAGGAGGCTGAGGCAGGTGGATCGCTTGAGCCCCGGAGTTGGAGGTTACAGTGAGCTGTGATCATACCACTGTACTCCAGTGGGAGTGACAGAGTGAGACCTCTATCTCTTCTTCTTTTTTTTTTTTTTTGAGTTGGAGTCTCACTCTGTCATCCAGGCTGGAATGCAGTGACCCAGTCAACCCCTATCTCTTAACAAACAAGTCAGGCACAGTGGCTCACACCTGTAATCCCAGTACTTTGGGAGGCAGAGGCGAGAGGATTGCCTGAGCCATGGGGTTCAAGACTAGCCCGAGCAACTCGGTGAGAACTCATCTCTACAATAAATTAAAACATTAGCCAGGTGTAGTGGTGCACACCTGTAGTTCCAGCTACTTGGAAGACTGAGGCAGAAGGATTGCCTAAGCCCGGCAGGTCGAGGCTGGATATTATAATATCTAGGAGCAATAAGTGCTAGGAAATAAACTGAAGGTGGGCAAGGGGATGAGAATGGTGGAGGTGATGCTATTTTAGGTAGAGTGGTTTAGATAGAGCCCTGAGAAAATAATGTGTGAACAGAGACCTGAATGAATGAAGCGAGAGACCAAACCATAAAGAAGAGTGTTCTCAACTAGAAGGAGAGTTCTGAGCAGAGAAAATAGCAAGTACGAAGGTCTGGAGGTAAGAATGTGCTCGGAGGATCTGAGGAACATCAAGGAGGCCAGAGTAGCTGGAGACCACTGGCAGTGGGCAAGGGGAGGAGGCTGTGGAAAGCACTGGAGGGATGTGAATGGGGAAGTTGCATGGTGTGGGAGCTGTGCAGAAGGCAGGCAGCGGGAGTGAGCCCAGCATGCTGTGGATTAGCTGGGTAGCCCTGGCAGTCCCCTGCCATTTGTGCAATGGCAGATTTGGTTAGACGGTCTATAAGTTCCCTAATCGCTTCAACACTTAACAGAGGATAACCTGGCAGTCCCACTTTTTGGCCCTTCTTTTTAGCATGACTGTGATATACTTCAGAATGTTGGAGGGTAACAACTGGTGGAAAGCAAACAGAGATGCTTGATGTGAAATCACTTCAGCCCAGGTTTGTCCCTACTGACCTAGCTAGGCAGCAAGTGGGACAACTTGGAGAAACTGCCTTCAAAACCTCAAAGCTGCTGAAAAGGACGAGGTCATACCAGGAGAAAGGGCTCAGAACAGAAAATACTCAATATCTGACTAAACACAATAGACCATTTTTGTCTCTTTAACTTCTTTAAAATATGTATAGTGGTTGAAAGCAAAAGTTATAATACTGTCTAGTGGGATTTTTAATGTATTTAGAACACACTGAAAATACAAGGTTGAGGTGAAGGGACCTGTGTATGGTAAGGTTTCTACATTCCACTTGAAGTGGTAAGATATTAATTCCACATAGACTGTGAAAAGTTACGTGTTTGTACTTTGTAATCACTAGGATAATCACTAAAAATACTGCATAAAGTAATACAGCAAATAAATGAAAAACTAAAGCCATCACTAAAAATCCAGCCAGAGGAAACTGATCCATTTGCTGTCAGTAGCCTGGTACTTGTGACATGGTTTACAAGCATAAATAAGCCAGTCAGTCTCTTCTCTCAAAAATGTGAGGTTGAAAATCAGAAGTGGTAACTTTAGAATGAGGACGGCATTTAAGTGGTCTCCAGAGAGAGTTAGGGCTGGCAATTAGATGAGGCCATTAAACAAGACCATCAACCGGCAGAGACAGCCAGAGACTGAAAACAATGAGGGAGGCTGGGGAGAAGGGAGAAGTGCCAGGTTCATCTCCCAGGTTGGCTGGGTGGAGATATATATCCTGCTCCCCCTGGAGCTTCGCTACAGCCTTGCAAAAGTGCAAGATATCCCCTCCGCAGCTGAATCCTCAGCTAGTCTATTCCTCACAAGAAGCCTTTTCTTCAGTAAGTCTTTTTATTTAGACAGAAAAAAACAAAGAATGAAGAGGGAAGCATTAGGCTACCAAGGAACTTTAGGACACCAAACTCCCTTTGCTTTTTGATTCAGCATTGACTAATTGGAGCTTTGTTCCTATGGGTGTACCCATCCTCAAAAGCGTTTACTCTCAGAGGCAGGAAGGAACACTCTGGCAGATGCTGAGCCAGCCCTGTTCTCTGTGATTGGTGACACACACTTTCTAGTTTATTAGCCACCTGGGAATTGCTCAACAGGTGTACATGCAGCAGAGCACCATAAGGACCAAGGTCCCCACCAAATCTGCAGGGCCAAAGTCAACCTCATAGCCACAGAGCCAATGTCTAGCTCATAGCCACAGTGCCAAGGCCATCCTCAGACCCACAAAACCAAGGCCACCACCAATGACATCAGAGCCAAGGTCTAGCCCAGACTTACAGGGCCAAGGTCCAGCCCAGACCCTGCTGAGGGTGGTTGAATCCCAGAAAATCCTTCTAGAACAGGCGACTTCCCTGTCTCATCTGCCTTTCTGGAGTAGCAACAGCAGGTGCTATTGAGTTAATACCTGCCTCTACTGGGGCTTTTTAATGTCCATGGTGTAATATCTGAGCCAGAGAACCAAGAAGAAATGAATCTCGCCAGCCCACCAAACATGCTGCAAACATGATGAAGAACCCTTGTCACGAGTCCCAGCTGGGTCACCAATAATGCCTGGGATGCTTGCCTGCTCCCCTGCTGTACTTGCTGTTCCCTGTGCTTCCATTTCCTGGTGTGCTGGCCTCCCTGGGCCTGCTCTCTTCTCTCCCTTCTCCCTCATTTCCAGAACTCATCTGGACACGCTTGACCACAACAGACCCTTGGCACTCTCACTTGGGCACCCGCCCTCTGGACCCTGCTGTCCGCCCTTCCTGAAGTCTCTGAACACAGGGCAGGGACTGTCACAACAATGATGGAGCTACCTGTGAAGACAAATCTGTCCTCTTCTATTTTCTTTTTTAGGTGTTTGATTTCAAAGTCCCTTTCTTTCAGCAGCTTATACAATCGCCCATTCTCATCGACTGTTTCCCTGAGTTCATCTTGAAGCTGTTCAATCTCGTCTTCAAGCACCCTACAAAGCAAGCAAGGCATAGTTACTACTCCTCCACGAGGCCTGATAGACAGGTGTCAGGCCTCCATGGCCTGGATTTGTTGAACCTGGGTTGGGCATTAGGTGGTGATAAAAACTGGTTTGTACAAGAAAGAGAAAACACATACACACATTCATGAAAGGAGGAAGAAAGTTTGAAAAACACTGCTTATTAGCTAGTGTCAACAGAGAGCAATGAGGGGGAACCTAATAAACCCTGGAATTTATTTATAAAAATTTGTATATGAATTCTTACATATTTAAACTTCAGTCACCTTCAAAGTACTCTCTGTTTGATGCAGTACACCTGTCAAGACACTTTTTTCCATTGCTCAAAATAGTTTTGGAACTCGTCAATTTTGATGCCTTTTAGTTTGAAGCCTTCTAGTGATTCTGTCGTCGTTTTGTTTTGCCTCTTACACATAGGCAAAACATTTCTCTTTAAGAACTTTTTTCATCCGGGGAAACAAAAAAAGTAGCTTGGGGTGAGATCAGGTGATAGGGAGAATGGGACATGGGAGTCATGCTGTTCTTGGTCAAAAACTGCTGAACATTCAGCATGGTGTGGGCAGGTGTGTTGTCATGGTGGAAGAACCAGTCACCTGTTTGCTACATCTCTGGACATTTCTTCCACAAATCGTGATGTAACCATCTCAAAATTTCCAGATAATAACTTTGGTTGACCATTTGATCCAGAGGAACAAGTTCCAAGTGTATTATAAGGGGCCTACCCTCCAAAAGATAATTCTGGGTTTTTCTGAGTCCCTCTTTGTATATAAAACCCCCACTCACTCAGAGAATTCATAGTCCTTTCAAGCATCCATAAAACATGCATAAAAATGTTTGCATAGGCTACGAAGTCAATCTTAGGAAATTCCATATAATGACATTATATGAATCATTTTCTCTATGGCAACTGCCTAATATTAAAAATTAATAATATAAAAATAGAAAAAATAAAAAACCTAAACCCTATTACATGTTTGCAACTAAAAAAACACACTCCTAAATTATTTATGGTTAAGAAGAAATCATAACATGTATTGTAAAGCATTTAGAATGGATGACTACAGAAGCTATGTCAAAGCTTGTCAGATGTAGCTATAATTAAGGCTACCCATTTTCTTCTATCACTTCAGTTGCATTTTACAATTTTTTGATACAGCTTCTTCGGTATATGTGTGTGTGTGTATGCGTGTGTGTGTGTGTGTGTGTGTGTGTGTATACATATACACACATATTAGAAGTATATATATGTGTTTGTGTGTGTGTGTATGTAATACACACACACACACACAAATATATTAGAAGACCAAATAGGAATTTTCTATGCCTTAAGTTGAGGCTAGGTCAGGTAAACCTAACAGAAAATTAGAATGGGTGGTTGGCTTTATATTACAAGTTGTCTTGTGAAGCTCTGTTCAGAACTTTAAGACATAAGAAATCCATGACTTATGGGCCTGTGATCACTTTTATGTTGGGCACAGAACAGGCTCCCTAGAGACAGTTGCTGAGGAAGTAAATAAGTTTTAGGTAGGCTAGGTGTGGTGGCTCACACCTGTAATCCCAGCACTTTGGGAAGTGGAGGCAAGAGGACTGCCTGAACCCAGGGGTTCGAGACCAGCCTGGACAACTTGGTGAGACCTCATCTATACAATAAATAAATTTTAAAAATTAGCCAGGCATAGTAGTTGCGCCTGTAGTTCCGGCTACTTGGAAGGCTGAGACGGAAGGATCACCTGAGCCCATCAAGTTGATGCTGGGGTGGCCATGAGCATGCCACTGCACTTCAGCCTGGGTAACGGAGCGAGATGCCAACTAAAAAAAAAAAAAATTAGCTGAGTGTGGTGGCACATGCCTGTGGTTCTAGCCACCTGGAAGGCTGAGGTGGAAGGATCACCTGAGCCTAGCAAGTCAAGGCTGCAGTGGTTGTGAGAGTGTGAGCATGCCACTGCACTCCAGTCTGGGCAACAGAGTGAGACTCTGACTAAAAAACAAAAAAAAGTTTTAGGTAACAGTAATTATTAGGCAACAGTTACTATTGTTGTTATTATTCTATCAATGACTCAATCTCCAATTCCAGTTTCTCTATTTGGGTATAAGTCATTTGGAAATAGGCTTGGGGTTAACTTAACTTAATATTTAGGAGTCATATAAATTTTTTAATTATGGAGAAATCTTTGGTTTTCAATTAGCATTTTTAACTAGAACATATTGAAGACTAAGAAACCATAAAAGTAGAATTTGAAGATGGAGGAAATAGATTTTGGGCAAAAACAGAAGCAAAGAGAGAGTTCAACAACCGTTGTGATTTTTTTTTTAAACAAAATGACTAGTAGAAGATTTACTATGAATATAGACTCTTGCTTCTAATTACCAGTATAAATTCACATGCATCTAAACATAGATGTAACATTGTTGAACTTGGAGCAAATTGAGAAGATTCTGTACTCCTTTAAACTTTTTTTACCAACTGTAAAATAGCAAGGAATTCACCAAGAGATCCTTTAGGATGTGAAATGTTTATGTAGTGTTATATGCCAGAAAAGGGAAATGGGCACAGGAGAATGATCCTAGATGAGATTTAGAGCACTAATCATCTATGAATCATCAGTTAACCAACCAGCTCCTTGGAAACTCAAACACAGTTTTCATGAAAGAGACTACAAGAGAAAATTCACCTTGATGAGTTTTAAATTTTCAATTTGACTTTCAATGGTTTTTAAATACATTTCACATCAAATTATGTCCATAGGACATAGATCTATCGGATGCAAGAGTCTTCAGTAATAACTTTTACATCAAAATGACTTTCAATTTATAAAACCCACATCTAGTCAACCTGACTGTCTATGTCTGCAACTATTTCTTCCCCACCTTCTCTACTTCCCTGCAATGTTCCTGCGACAGTTCAAACTTGCATTTACCTCTGCTCAAAGCTGTTTTTTGCATTTTGTTCCCCTGCTTGGAAAGGGCTGAAGTCATCTGAGACCTCCAAGGACTCTTTTTGGTCATCACTTCTACTTTTGAGGCTCAGTTCCTTTTCCTTCTTCTTCTCCATTTGTTTCTGTAACCTTTTTTGTTGCATCTCCTGCATTGCCTTGAACTGGAGCCGCAAAGTGTCCTGTGAGCCTTCATCCGTTGCCATTCTTGCCCTAGGAGTCAAAAACAAGCCTGAGTGGAAGCAAATCCACCCAGAGCACTCAGCACACAGCCAGCCCTGTCTACAGCCCCCAACCCTGAAGCTTACTGCTTAGCTTTGCATGCATGTCTGTGCAGAAGCTCAAAGGCACACTCTCACCTCAAATCACATGGAAACCAAAGCTGAGCTGAGCATCCTCCCACATCCCTGAACATGACACTAGACAGCAATTGGCATCAGAACTTCCCATCACTCAAACTCAGCACTTGACTTGCCTGTCCCTTACATCAGTGGCTCTCAACTTCAGTGGAACATTGGAATTCCCTAGGAACTCACAGAATATAACAGTGCCTGTGTTCATCACCAGATCAACTAAATCCCAATTAGAATGGGACTTGGACGTTATTACTTCTTCTTCTTTTAATTGAAGTATAATTTGGCCAGGTGTAGTGACTCATATTCGTGGTCTCAGCACTTTAGGAAGCTGAGGTGGGAGGATTGCTTGAGGCCAGGAGTTTGAGACCAGCCTGGGCAACATGGCAAGGCACAATCTCTACCAAAAAAATTGTTTTTTAAAAGCTGAGGTATAAACTGTCACAAAAAAGTGCATAAATCTTGAGCATACAGCTCAGTGAATCTTTCCACAGATATACACCCCTGTGGTGACCACTCAGATCAAGGCACAGGGCATTTCTACTCCTTAAGCAGGCTACTTCCTCCAGTGAATCATCCTCCATGGTAGACATTATTCTGCTCTCTGTCATTGAAGATGAGTTTTATCTGGTTTCCTTTTAGTCAGCTCTATTTAAGTATAATTTATACACAATAAATACATCAATTTTATATTATATATTATATATTTTAACAAATATATTCATCTATGTAAACTACAGAAATCTCCTTTGTGTCCCTTTGTGTCAATCTGTCTGCCAGTCTCAACTCCAGGCAAACTGGTCTGCTTTTGTTCACTACAGTTTTTGCCTTTTCTAGAATTTCATATAACTGGAATCATGTAGTAGTTAGTCCTTTTGTGTCTGTTTTTTTTTTTTTTTTTGCTCAGCACTACTTTTTGAGATTCATCTATGTTGTTGCATGTGTCATTAGTTCATTCCTTTTTATTGCTAAATAATATTATACTGTACAGATAATCTTCAACTTGCTTACACATTCACCTGTTATGTATAACATACCAGGACACATGAGCTGTTACCAGTTTGAGCTATTATGAATAAAGCTGTCATGAACATTCATGTATAAGAAAGTATTTGTGTGAACATATACCCCCACACACACACCCATACACACACACTTTTTTTGAGATGAGGGTCTTACTATATTTCTTAGGCTGGTATCAAACTCCTGGGCTCAAGCGATCTTCTTGCCTCAGTCTTCCCAGTAGCTGGGATTACAGGCATGCACCACCGTGCTGAATGTTCTTTGTATTTTTTTTAAATGAACATATATTTGTATTTCTCTTGGGTAAATGCTGAGAAGTGAAAATGCTGGATTATATGGTAAATTTATGTTTAACTTTATGAGAAACTGCTAAACTGTTTTCCAGAGTGGCTGTACCGTCTTACATTCCCAGTAGTAGCATATGAATTTTAGTTGCTCCATCCTTACCAACACTTTAGTCTTTCTTGTTGGTATGTAATCATATCTCAACATGGTTTTAGTTTGCATTTCTCTACTGACTAGTTATGTTGAGCATTTTTTCATGTGTTTCTGGCCATTTGTATACCTTCTTTTGTGATATATCCATTTTTTTCGGCTCATTTTTAAATTGTGTTGTCTTATTACTCAGTGGTCAGACTTCCTTATGCATTCTTGATGTTTTGGCTGTTTGAATTTCACATAAATGGAATAATAGACACAAACACTGGAATTTTTAAATGCTCCCCACAACTTGCTCCCCCAAGTGGCTATACTCCCTGCCTTAAACAGCCCTCAAACTGCATCATCCACCTGTCACTCAATTAATTAAAAATCTTGATTCTCCATAAATGTCCTCAAATCTGTCTCCATGTCTCCATCCTCACTGATACCACTCATCATGCTTACAACCACTTTGGGCATTTGCTTTTGCTGTTCCTCTCCCTGGAATGTTCTTTGCCCAGACATCCACTTCACTCACTTCCTCTCAAATGTCATTTTACCAGAGGCCTTCCTCACATCTTATTGTAGAAAGCATCCTTACTGTCACTCCCCATGCCTTTTGCCCTGTTTCATCTTCATCCATAGCACTGTCACCTGACACATTATATATTTGTTTACTTGTTGATTGTCTCTCTCTCTTTTTTTTTTTTTTTGAGTTGGAGTCTCACTCTGTTGCCCAGACTGGAGTGTAGTGGCCGCTCCTGGCCACCACAGCCTTGACTTGCTGGGCTCCGGCAATCCTTCCGCCTCAGCCTTCTAAGTAGCTGGAACTACAGGCACACGCTACCACGCCCGGCTAATTTTTGATTTATTGTAAAGATGAGGTCTCGCCAAGTTGCTCAGGCAGGTCTCGAACCCGCGGGCTCAGGCAATCCACTCACCTCAGCCTCCCAAAGGTATGGGATTACAGGCTGAGCCACCGAGCCCAACTTTTTTTTTTTTTTTTTTTTGAGTTGGAGTTTCACTCTGTTGCCCAGGCTGAAGTGCAGTGCCACACTCACAGCCACTGTAGCCTCGACCTGTTGGGCTCAGGCAATCCTTCTACTTCAGCCTTCTAAGTAGCTGGAACTACAAGCATGCACCACCACATCCAGCTAATCTTTTGATTTATTGTAGAGAAGAGGTCTCACCAAGTTGCCCAGACTGGTCTTGGACCCCTGGACTCAGATGATCCTCTCGACTCTGTCTGTGCTGGGATTACAGGTGTGAGCCACTGCACTCAACTGATTGCCTCTTTCTCTTTCCACCAGTTTCACAAGGCAGGCACTGTGTACTGTTCACTGATGTATCCTCAGTGTCTACAGCAGGGCCTGGTATGGAGCAGGCATGGAATGAATACTTGGTGAATGAATGACGATGGTTCTGTCCCCAGGCCTTCGCCATCCCTACCCATCCTCCTCATCCCAACTTGCAGTCCAGCCTGCATTCATTGAGGAGCCAGTTTCTCTAAAGCACAGCTCTGTGCCTGACAGGCTCCTGTGCAGAAAGCTTCAGTAAATGCCCATTAGCCACGAAACCAAGTCCAATGGCATTAAGGACTTTGGGGAATTTGGCAGCAATCTCTGCTTCTAGCCTGCTTTCTCTTTCATAATGTTGAGTTCTAGCTGATTGTGTCAAAATGCTCCTCTGTCTCTATACTTCCCTCTCCCCCAAGGCTGAAATATTGCTGGTCCTTCCACACCTATCACAAATACTATGGTCCATTCCTATTATTTAGTGGCTCTCAAACTTGCTTCAATATCGAATCTCCAGGGATACAATCTAAAAATACTGATACCCAGGCCCCACCCCTAGAGAATCTAATTTAATTAATCTGAGCGCTGCCCAGGTGGTTCTAATATGCTGTGGACTGAATCCAGGGTCAGGCAAAGCAAAAGCAGAAGCTGGTGTTATTTTGAAATTCCTTACCAGGTAGCTTTGCCCAGTAACAGGCACCACAAAGAATTAATTCAGAAAGTCTAGGTTGTCCACACCCTATACATTTGGAAGAAAGCCTCTAATTCCTTTGAATATCCCTCCTGATAAAGAGAGTCCTTCTTTACCTGGGGGCCTTGAGTTATTGCAGATAGTCCAAGCTAACAATGTGATACATTTTAGGGGCCTTGGGCCCATGTAGTAACAATTGAGTTCTAGAGGGGCTGGAGATTGAATAACTAAGGTCAACTATGCCTATGTGGCCATCTCCCAATAAAATCCCTGGACACAAGCTGGGCATGGTGGCTTATGCCTGTAATCACAGCACTTTAAGGGGCAGAGGCGAGAGGATCACCTGAGCCCAGGGGTTCGAGATCAACCTGGACATGACGAGACCTTGTCTCTACAGTAAATCAAAAAATTAGCTGGGTGTGGTGGTGTGCACCTGTAGTTCCAGCTACTTAGAAGGCTAAGGCAGAAGGATCGCCTGAGTGCAGCAGGTCGAGGCTGCGGTGGCCATGAGTGTGCCACTGCACTCTAGCATAGGTGACAGAGTGAGACTCCAATAAAAAAAAAAAATTCCTGGACACCAGGTCTCGGGTGAGCTTCCCTGGCTGGCAATACTCCATGTGTGTTGTTACACATTGTTTCTGAGAGAAGTAAGAACTGTCCACCTAACTCCACTGGGAGAGAATAACTGGAAGCTTGTGCCTGGTGTCTCCTGGACTCTGCCGTATATGCCTCTCCCTTTGTTGATGTTGATCTGTGTTCTATTATTGTAATAAACAGTAACTGTAAGTATGATAGCTTTTCTGAGTTCTAGAAAATCATTAAAACTGAGTGTGGTCTTGGGGACCCTCAGACTTCAGGAACCCCTGGACATCTCTGCTGAATGCGTGACAGTCATAGCCATGACAGGGTATACGAAAAGACACGATACCCAAGGATGTGATGTAAATTAACAATTGGTCTTATTGTCTTAAATTTAGGCAAATCAGATTCCATGTTTTAAATTTAGGCAAAGGTCAGCAAACTTCTTCTGTAAAGGTCCAGACAGCAAATATTTGAGGCTTTTTGGGCCATATGATCTCTGTCGCAACTACTGTACTCTGCCACTGTAGGAGAAAGTAACCAAAGACAACATGTAAGCAAATGAGTGTGGCTGTGTTCCAATAAAACTTTATTACAAAAACAGGCAGAAAGCTGAATTTGGACTGTGGGCCCTTAGTGTACCTACCCAATTTAGAGGATTTTTACCTGAGAAGGTGTCTAGAGATTGAAGAAAACACTATTGAGTCGATTATTTGAAGAAGCAATTAATACAGTTTAAAAATAAATGTATACGTGATTTCCTACTTTGTGCAGATGATAAGAAGGGCCAGTCATATTCTTCATTTTCTCATTACCTTGGAGAGTGAAAGGAAGAGCTGTTAATAATCATTC